TCAGCAGCGGACGTGGTGCAAGGCTGACACAAGAAACCATGCTAAACTAAACCCTTTCATCGCCGCAGACAGGTGCAAATTAAATGTTTGCTTGGTTTGTTTGATGTATGAGAACGGAGGGTATCTGGGCTCCTCGAAATAATGAGGGCTGAGGCAATAAAATGAAAGGTACACGATAATATGGTTTCATTGTAATAACAACAGCAGTATTCATTGGTTGAGCCTCAGCTAACCTTTCATGTATGGTAATAAAGAATGCTGGGCCAAAGCGTAACCTGATTTGTGTGCTGCTGCTGTTGGATTAATCCACACTGATAAGAGTTGAGAAGCAACTCTCTCACTTGGAGCACATCTGGGATTTGTCAGAGCAAAGGCATCCAATCAGCCAAACCGCAGCCAGTGGCCTGAGTGTCCTAGAAGGAAAGATTACACAGCGCTGATGCACTGGCCTCCAAATTTGTTGTAGCTTCTAATAGTGTTACAGTCTGAAGGCAGAGAGAGAAGAGGCTGTTTTGGACTGACAGGTGAATATTTGCTCAGCGTGGCACTGGAAGTGAGGGGGCTGTTTTATTACATCATAATGGGGCTGCTGTGAAGCCCTTTAAAGGACTCTAACTGTGTTTCAGGGCTGTAAGTGCTTTCTTTACTGCAAAAAGCTTTTAGCTCTATTGGTAACAGTTCAGAAAGGGGCACAAGCTCTCTTCTGTCTGTTCTTATTTACAAGCAAGCTGAGCTTAGTTAACATTTCACACTAGAGCATTTTCTGACTATGTTTGAACCTTTGTGTAAAAACAAAAAAAGGTGTTTCTGTGCTGTGGTTGTCAAACTGTTTTGATACTTGATGATACCACTTGATGAAACCAATTAATCTCTGTTATTTTTGATAATCAACATTTCTGAAAGGTACTAATGCTTTAAAGGCATAGTTTGTAAATTCCGCGACCAGGAATTCAATCAAAACAAAAGTCGAGGGGGAGTCATGGGAGTGATCTTTCCGCTGCTCCCCGCCCCCCCACCCCACCCTGATGAAAATAAACTCAGAGTTGGCCGTAGTCGAGACGAACTGGGGGTGGGGACTCTTAATCATGGAAAGACTTTCTTAAAGACTGACAGCATGAGGATATCCATTTTTATTCAGGTCAGAACTCAGTTGCAGCTTTTCTTTGGTTGACCTCGGTTTGTTGTTTGGGCTCAAATTTTCTATTTTGTGTTACTTTTTTTCCTTTACATTTTTAACATTTGCAACCTGTTTCGTCTATTGATTTCATTTGGCTTAATAAAACTGGTACAAACGTTCCTTGTGTCTCTGCCTTTGCTACCAAATGCCTGTGAAGACAGACTAAAAAATGTACAAGGGGAACTGCACACAAAGAGTGCATAAATATAGGATGTCTGACATAAAGGTATCAAACCTGCTCGGCACATTATGTCCTACACAGTATTTGTTTCCTCATACATGTGCAAACAAACATCAAACTATAAACTGCAAATGACACACGTGGACACAACACAACACTGTTAATGTATCCATATTAAGAGTTTCAAGAATCATGTAACCACTGAATATATTGTAGGACAGACTTATTTATAATGCAGGAATATATTATCAAAGCACTCTGTTGCAGACAAGGCCATTTTAAAATGGCTGGTATCCAAAGAGTCTCTCCCGTTGCATTATGCAGCCTTGCACTTGGCATAATTAATCAGCCTGATTAACATAACTGTAAATCTCAAGGTGCATGTTCCTCCAAACCCCAATTTTGGCCTTTGTCCTCCAGTAAGGCTGTCCAGTCGGTTATGAGAAATAGAAATGTCAAACTAAATTGATTTCTCTGCCTTTAAGAAGTTAGGCAAGCTGTTGCTTCATATTGTTTTTGTCAGTGTGTTTTTTAGTGTCTCATTTAAGCCCAGAGTTTTATTTTTAGATTCACAATGAAGAGAAGAGACCACATCACATGAGAGTCACTTGGAGACTTCTGCATCGTTATTGGAACTTTCCACAGACAGGACTAGAGCTACCATGACTAATAGGGATTTCACACTTGCAGAAAACTCCTGAAAAACTCTTGATATATCCAGGAGGAGCTGTATATGTGTGAGCGCGCACAGCCAAATTTTTCATTCAGACTTCACCCGGAGTTTCTCCGGCGAGACCCCTAGTATTTTTTCCGCAGCATGTCTGAGTGGGCTGATGTGAAAACGCAGCTGGATAATCTCCAGAGAATTCACTTCAAGCCAATGGGAAGTGACAATATTCTCAGTAGTGCATATGTGACAATGGCTTGACGCATTAGCTGGCCAAAAAAAAAACTAGTGTGCATCTATTATAAAGCATCAAGCAAAAAAAAAAAAAACAGAAGACAGTCTTTGTTTGCAGCTTCTCAGAGGTGGACCTTTGGCATATCTGTCTAATATAACCGTCACATTCATATATTTGCTATTTGCTTTCAGATTGTAATGGTAATATTCCAAAATGTTCTGACGTTTAACAGTAAATTATTTTGCTCGATGGCACCAAAAAAAAATCCTTAGTAGGTTATATGTATTTATTTGACAGAATAAAAACACGTATTTTGTTTGTGCTGTGACAACAGAATTTCAGTTTCCTTATCGATATTTCTTTACTGTGCAAACAACCCAAACAAAATTAGCTTCTGTGTGGTTTACCTTTTTAGGTATTTATACAATGCTGGTGCGCCCAAAGTAGATTCTTCATTCAAATTTAGAGCTATGTGCGTCCAACAGAGCAGTGCACAGATGACAAGCTAGGGCTGGAGAAGGGCAGAGTGGAAACTACATTTGGTTGGCAAATTAGCTGGAGCATCCTGTGACCCTGGATTGCGCGCCTCCCCTCAACAAAAGTTCGGCATGGAAAGTCTGGGATTGATATGCAAACGAGGAGAAGATGGAAAACATGGAAATACAGTCTGCAAGTGGTACAACACAGGTTGGCACATGTACAAAGAATAAATTGGCCACTGATTGCATCATTGACTTCAATTAGCGGTGGTCAATTATAAGTTAGATGAAATCCTGTAATCCTGGTAATAGTGTTGTCAATGGGGTGCTTGAGGTATTCGGTGTTAATTCAAAATGATCAGTCATGCATGATGACTGTCAAATGTTATCACAGGTTCAACCATCTCTAACCAAATATTCTTATTATCAATACAATCATCATCTGTCCTCAACTGTCACAACAAACGAGTAACATTGAAGTTATTGTTGGTTTGTTTTCTGTTTATGTTTTTGCAAAGCCAGTTTGACAAAAATCCAGAAAATGTAATTGTGGTTGAAACATAGCAGCTCTACAGCTGATAAAGTAGTGACATAGTTAGTTAAATCATTGGCTACAAAGTCCAGTCAGAGCTGTATTTGACATCACCTTACTTTTTTGCCCCTAACATATCATATTATTTATTATTTAATCAGACTAATTAAATGCCAAAACATGATTACTAGATCTGCTTTTTTCTGAATTTCATGCCTGCTTCTCCTCCTACTGAAAAATAAGGGGGAAAGCAAAGGCTTAGAAAACCTTGTTAGTGATCTAAATAACTACAAAAATCTAATTCAAACAACAGGAAAGGAGAAAGCTCCATGAAAGCTCATGTGGATAAGGCGACAGGTCGATATCAGATATCTGATTACAGGCTGAATGTGCCGGACGCATCAGTTGTCTGACACAATTAGGAAAGTTCTTAGCGCTGGTCAGTCTCCTGTTTCTGCTCGGGGCTCCTGACCGGTGAAAGTGGTAACAGAGCACCAGGACTGAAGAGGCTGCAGCAGGATGATGTGTTTGAGGATATTACAGAAGGGGGTACATTTTAGATAAAGCTGTGATGAAGAAACATGCTAGGGCTGTTTAATTCATCGCAATTTCTGAGACTTCCGGGATATGAGCACTCGCAATAAACACATCGCAGTAGGGATGTAAAGATTAGTCGTAAAATTGTGATAAATCGATTCAAAGGTTTTCACATCAGTACTCTGAAAAATGAATCGCAATAATATGGTGAGAATCAGCAGCTGTAGAGCAAAATTTAGAAATGGAGGACTCACCACCGTCTTTTAAATCGGAGGTGTGGAAGCATTTCGGCTTCCCCGAGAGAGAAAATGAAAGAGGTGAGGAGATAACAGACGAGACAAAAAACTGTGTGCAAACATTGTAAGAAGACAGAGAACTACACAAACAGCACAACCAACATGGTGCAGCATTTAATCAACACCACAACGAGAGGCTCCAATCACCTCCCCTTGATGAGAGAAAGAAAACATTTAAACCACACTGACAAGTGGGTTTGAATCATTTTCAGTCATCACTTGTCTTCAGTCTCATTTTGTTCAATAAATCGTGAGAGAATCGTATCGTGAACCCAGAATCGCGAATCGTAATGTGAGTTGAGTGAATCGTTACGTCCCTATTAATATACCAAAGACATTTTACCTGCTCCTTTGTAAGTGTCTTGAGATAATATTTGTTGTGAATTGGTACTATACAAGTAAAAATGGATTGATCACTACAGTATAGTAGAAACAGCATCAGGGGTTTGCAATGCTGGATGAAAATAATAGAGCCCAAAACATCTTAAACGAGCCTTTTCACTAAATCTCGCAGGACATCAACATGAAGCATCTGCTATTTTTTTTTTTGTTACCAATTTCCTGCAAAGCGCACACACAGCCTCCAGAGTGAACACGATTAAATAATACGACGTAAATAAACATCACTATTCCTCGAAATGTTAACACTAGGATTAAGAGGACACTTACAAGGACGTGAGGGTGGGAATACAGTGATGGAGGAGCTGCTAGACTTAAAGCTATAGGGCTAGCACTGGTTTATTACATAAGAGTACGCACTGCCTGACTGCAGAGTCACGGCTGTCAACTCGGAACTAACACACACAGACAATTAGCAATTAAGCTAGCTGCGTTTTTATCATTAACAGTGGGCGGGAGTTGTTGTGTTTATGTTGTTGCGTTTGCAGGGTACTCACCTTTTCTTGGCTGGGGGTCTCCCGGTGGGTTGTGTGTCTGTCTCACTGAAGGGAAGAGCTGTCTGTCCTCCTGTGGGGACGTTTGTCTGTCTGCTAACTGTTAGCTGGCGACGTTGTAATGTTTATATGTTGAGTGTTCACGGCTCCTCCTCAGCCCGCGGCGTCATGCTGGTCCGATATTAAAGTTCTGACGATTAAAAATGAACTTCACATTACTGGTACTCTTACTGCAGACTATAAATCACCGATATTCAGTCAACTTGTTAGCCAGTAGCCCGCCTGTTCGGCTCTGTCATGGGTTTGAGTTAGCGGACGTCAAGTCAGCCGGAGTTACAAACACTTCCTGTTATACATTTCAAAGTAAAAGCTAAACTAGATTTTATTTATTTTTATTTTGATATACTTTATTAATCTCCGAGGGGAAATTCGGATTCACACTCTTTTATTTTTAGGGACATGCTTCTCACACACATAGGCTCGAATCACACACATGCACAAACAGGACCTGTGGACGTCTATTGGTAGAGAGATGTCAGAGTGGGGCTGCTACACACTGATACACAGGGAGAACATTAGAGCAGCTGATGCCTTGCTCAAGGGCACCTCAGCAGTGCTCAGGAAGTGCCCTGGCATCTCTCCAGGTACCAGACCAACAACCATATTATGGTCCTCACCCGGACTTGAACTGGCAACCCACCAGTTCCCAAACTAAGTCCCTACGGACTGATCTACTGCCCCCACTGAACATTAATTAGTTCTTCACACAATACTCTGTAAAAATTCCAGTGAATTTTATACATTTTTTATAGATTTATTTTGGTGCTTTTAATGCCTTTATTTTGGAGATAGCACAGTGGATAGAGTCAGAAAGAGGGGTGAGAGAGAGTGAGTAATGACATGCGGGAAAGAAACCACAGGTCGGATCTGAATCCACGCCACCCACTTGATGGACTACAGCCTCTGTACATGGAGCGCGGCCATGGACTCTTTATGGCAGTGGTTCTCAACTTGTGGGTTGGCACCATACGGTAAATATTAATGGACGAAGCCTGAGGGACATCAGCAATCTGTTATGGCAGGGGTTTTCCCATGCTCATCAATCATGTCAATCATGTCAGCTACACGCCCAATTATGCACAACAAGCATCGTTTTCTAAATCAAAACAGAGACGTTTAACAAAAAATTCACCCCGTACAGTGTGTGCCAGTGATGACAATAACAAATCAGACTTATTTCGTTTTTATTCCAGGTTGTAAACATGTTAATTGATGCTGTAAAAACGTCTTTTTTTGCCAGTCATGTGTATGTGACTTTCGCTGCTCCTTGAGCCAGCCTCAAGTGGACACACGTTGAACTGCAGGGGTTTGCACTTTCACATTGGCGTCATTTTTCAAAAACGGTGGTCATCACTTGTTTGGCAACAAAAATTAGTTTGCGGAGTAAGTTTTCAATGGGTTTCTTTATTAGTCTTATTTCTCCAATATTGGTTTATTTTAATCTTTAAAAAAATAAGTTAATATTCATGTTTCTATCATCACTATAGTCCTGAAAGTTTTCTCTGGTCATGACTTTATTTTGAAGGGAAAGCACTGAAGATCCCGCTTCCGGTTAAATACTAGTTAACTTGACGTAATAACACAGTTCTCCCTTTTTGTGCTCGGTAATCATTTGATTAGTCTGGCTGGGCAGGGTATCGTAATCATTTGATCAGTTCGGTCTACATTAAACTTGGAGGCAGTTCATAACTATTTTATAAATGATGGATAGTGATCCACAGCACTGTTTGCGTTAAATTAAATAATCTAAATATAAAGTTTGATAAATGTAATATTCATAAAAACACATTTTTGTATGTTTAATTAAGAAGAATGGCTTTGCACGATTATATTCATCACATAGCCGACAAACAATGTCAAGCATGTTCAGGGAGACATTGTAACAAACTCTTTGAAAATGGGTGTTAGGGGAATGTGGAACATATTTATCATAAGCATAAATATAAGATACATTGTTATTGAACCCTTAAACAGTTATATCCGAGGGTTATAGCTGTACACAATTTTAAGAGTTGTATCTGTCAGGGAGCTGGATGTTTGTTTGGGTAAGGAGTGACATCTAGTGGCTGAAGAAGGTATAGTAGCTATATGTGTGATTGCACTTGGGGACCATCTAAAGCAGTGGCTCCCAACCACGTTGACTTTACAAAAATCTGGGGACCCCAGACATTCAGGACACATACAGATTTTTTCTATAGTGTAGAACTAAACATGTAAACAAGTAAACAAACAAAAACAACACAAGTAAACATTCACTTTAGACCACATTAAGGCTATTTCAGGTATGTGGCGGGGGCAGAAAGGGCGGGATGAGATTTGTGAACAAACGGAGGATTATTTTTTCTTGGTGTATGACGTGTACAGCCAGGCTGGAAATTCATGCTGGAGGCATGAGGCATGGATGAGAGACAGACCGAGATACTGCAAGATTGTTCGTTTTTAGCTTCGGCTCTCAGTAGCCCACGTCCTTTAGCTTACATGTACTACATGTACTATATATAAATATAAAATATGAAGAAATGTAAATTCTTATCCCATTTATTCGTCTTACACAAACCACGTCCCTCGCATCCAATGCCCATGCTTGACATTAATACACACACACACATACACAGAAACACACACACACACACACACACACACACACATCACATAAGTCCTTGTCTTGTGTTCTCCACCGACTCCCCCCTTCCCCACAGATTGTTTCATAGATTTCATAATGCTTCATTAATAAACTCCCATACGTCCCTGAGTTGCTTGACCTTGTTATTATCTTCAGATAAAGCCTTTTCTACAGTCAAATAATATTTCATCAATTCTTTCCAGGTATGAATAGAGGGGGCCTCTTTGTTTTTGTTACAAATGTTTCTGTGTTGTATTTTTGCTGCAGCTGCCAAAGAGCTGCTTGACTTTAAAGCATTAAATAAATATCTATTTTATTTGATTTTATTGTGTCATGATCATGATCATATCAAAGTATTTGTCTGTCGTGTTTTGTGATGCAAATATACATAAAGACAAGGAGATTGTTTCTTAAATGTATGCTGATGACAGGCTAGGTAATGCCCTGGTTGCACACTTTATTGCAAACACTGTACATGTGCATAGTACACTATATTTGTTATGCATATTTCATGACATATATTTTAAAGGCACATCTAGGGACGGCCATTAAAAATTCACTTTGACTATAAATGCTTTAGTGTATGGCAACGGTTAAGTTGGTCAATATTTTCACCTGTTCTCATAAACATGAAATAACTAAACACATAAGATGTGTGTACTTGCGCAGACTGTTGTGTATGAAAACATTCTCTGTTCATTCTACAATTCACTTAGCAGACGCTTTTATCCAAAGCGACGTACATCAGAGAGTAAGTAAAACACAAGCAAGGATCTAGAAAAAAGGGAACAATGTCAGTAAGAGCAAACGATCAGCTTTGAGTCTGATTGGACACACAGGTGCTGACAGGAAGTGACCAGAGGCAAAGCACAACATTGAGGGCAGTTCTTGAGCGCTCTAATCAGTATAGAAGCCATCTTATAAGTCGTCGTTATCAAACAAAAACCATCGTCACAACCATCATCATCATCAATAATAATATGGAGACCATCATCATTAAGTTAGTAGGTATTCATGAAAGAGCTGGGTCTTTAGCTTTTTCTTAAAGGTGCAGAGGGACTCTGCAGATCGAATGGAGTTTAGAAGTTCATTCCACCACTGGGGGGCAACAGAGGAAAAAGACTCTAGTCAGCGTCTTAGGACCCTGTTGTGAAGGTTGGATCAGACGCCTTTCATTGGCAGAGCGTAGTGGGCGGGAGGGAGTGTAGACCTGGATCAGAGAGTTAAATTAAGGAGGAGCCGTTTTTGTCGCTGTCTTGTAAGCAAGCAGCAGAGTTTTAAATTTGATATGAGCAGTAACTGGGAGCCAGTGTAAGGAGATGAACAGCGGAGTGACGTGCTCTTTTAGGAAGGTTGAAGACCAGTCGTGCTGCTGCATTTTGTATCATCTGCAGGGGTTTGACCTGCCAGTAGAGAGTTGCAATAGTCGATGCGTTATATCATAAGAGCCTGTACCAGGAGCTGTGCAGCATGTTCTGACAGGTAAGGTCTGATCTTCCTGATGTTGTACAGGGAAAATCGACATGACCGGGCAATCGAAGCTATTTGAACCTTAAAAGTTAGCTGGTCATCAATCATGACACCCAGGTTCCGGGCAGGCTTTGTGGGCATGAGTTTGCTTGTTCCAAGCTGGATATTGATCCGTGGTTGCATAGAGGGACTGGCTGGGATGACAAGGAGCTCAGTCTTTGAAAGATTGAGTTGAAGGTGACGTTCATTCATCCATTTAGAGATATCAGCAAGGCATGACGAGATTCTTGCAGAGACTGCAACATCGTCTGGTGGGAATGACAGGAAGAGCTGGGTATCGTCAGCATAGCAGTGGTAGTGAGCTTGTGTATATGGAGAAGAGAAGGGGACCAAGCACCGACCCTTGAGGTACCCCTGTGGATAAGCTGTGCGCTTTGGACACTTCTCCCTTCCACGACACTCTAAAGGATCACCCAGAGAGGTAGGACACGAACTAGCAGAGGCTAGATCCTGAGATGCCAAGTTCAGAGAGCGTGGATAGGAGGATTCGATGGTTGACTGTGTGAAAGGCAGCAGACAGGTCTAGCAGTAATAGAACTGAGGACTGACCCGCAGCTCTGGCAGCTCGTAGCGATTCTGTTGCTGACAGTAGTGCAGTTTCAGTAGAGTGGCCCCGCTTAAAGCCTGACTGATTTGGGTCAAACAGATCGTTTCTGGACAGGAACTCAGAGACTTGCTTAAAGACTATGTACTCAAGTATTTTTGACAGAAAGGGCAGAAGAGAAACCGGTCTGTAGTTTTCAACCTGGGCTGGGTTTAGTGTGGGTTTTTTGAGCAGAGGGGTGACCCAAGCTTGCTTGAATGCAGTGGGGAACACACCAGTTGACAGAGAGGAGTTGATGATATGCTTAAGCGCAGCATTAAGCGAAGAGGAAATGGTCTGCAGGAGGCTTGATGGTATTGGGTCCAGAGGACAGGTGGTGGGCCGAGAGTCTAGCACAAGCTTAGAGACTTCATCCTCAGTCAGAGAGGAGAATGAGTCGAGTGAGGCACTTTTGGTTGGTGCCTTTGGGCTGAGTTGGTCAGGCTCACAAAACTGGTTACTGATGGTTGCAACATTTTCAGTAAAATACGAGGCAAACATGTCTGGTGTGAACAGATCGGAGGGTGGAGGAGGAGGTGGTTGAAGCAGTGAGTTAAAAGCAGAAAACATTTTTCTTGTATCTGTGGCATTGCATATCTTGTTCTGATAATATGTTGTCTTAGCTGTTTTCAGGCTGGAGGAGAATGAGACAAGTCTTTGCTTATAGTCATTGAGGTCAGTGGACTGTTTGGATTTTTGCCATTTTCTCTCTGCTGCCCTCAGCCCTGCTCTTTGCTCTCTTATGACTTCAGTGAGCCATGGACTAGGGTGGGTTTTGCGAGCGGGTTTGGACACCAGAGGGCAGAGCTTGTTCAGAGATGAGGCTAGTGTGAAGCAGAGTGTGTCTGTAGCCTCGTCTGTAGAGAGTGCGGTACAGACCTTATGGGCAGGCATGGCAGCCATTACCTCGTTAAACAGCTGAGCTGGCTTGAGCGATCGCATGTTTTGGTGGTATGACACCATTTGTGGGTGCACCTGAGGGAGTTCCGGCAAGGAGATTGTGAATTGAATAAAGAAGTGGTCTGATAGATGCAGAGGGGTGACAGTCAGGTTTGCTGTCGAGCAGTTCCGAGTCAGAATTAAATCAAGAGTGTTGCCAGCTTTGTGGGTAGGAGGAGTTGGGACCTGTGTGAGGTCAAATGAGGATAGGAGAACAAGGAAGTCTGTTGCCTGGGCTTTATCAGTGTGTATATTCATGTCTCCCATTACAATCAGTGGTGTTCTATCATCAGGGATTTCTGAGAGTAGCATGTCCAGTTCCACATCAAAATTATTCAGATTACACCCTGGTGGGCGGTAAATGATAGCAATGTACATTTTAATAGGAGCAGTAACCAAGATTGTGTGATATTCAAATGAGGAGTTGTTGCTCAGTGGTAAGAGTTTATTGAATTTCCAGGTATTAGAAATGAGGATACCTGTACCACCTCCACGTCCAACAGAGCGGGGGGTGTGTGAGAACACTGTGTCAACAGAAAGAGCAGCTGGTGTGACTGTATTTTCTGGGCGGGTCCAGGTTTCAGTAAGGGCAAGTGCCTGAATGTCTGACATTTTTGCAAGTGCTTGGATGAATTCAGTTTTATTCACAGCAGATTGACAGTTCCAGAGGCCAAAAGTAAATGAAGGGTGGGTAGAAGAGGCTTTCTTAAGCAGAGACATGTTGTTAAGATTTCGTTGTCTATGACAGATGTGTCTTTTCCTGTTCCCATGAATCACAGAAATTTCTTTGGAGCACATGTTGCGTTTAGCAGATGACCAGAGGAAATAGGCAAAGCAGTAGTCGTGGATGCCCGGGCTCTGTGGTCACACTGAAGCGTCAGACTCTTTTAAGATTGGATTTTCGTGAAAATCCCGCCCCAGATTTTCAGTTTGCAATCAACAGAGGGTGTGACACGCGTCAACTGCCTCTCCTGGTGATGCTCAGAGAATGAAACTTAAGTGCTCAGTCCAAACAAAGCCTGACAACGACCCACTATCAATATCTTCTCAAAGCAAGTTTCGATTCACCCACCTAGCTGACAAGACCTTCCTAGTTTTCAGATCAGAGCTTGTTCTGCTGGCAGTTTCAGATTCAGACTCTTTTAAACTTGGATTTTCATGAAAATCCCGCCCGTTCATGCATTTGCTTTGATGCTATCATGATAGGACGAAGGAAAATAAACAATAAAAACTGTATAAAAGCTGACATCAGCTTGTGGCTTGTTGATTTAGTGAATTGCCAAAATAAGATATAGGCCTATACGTAGGTGGCTTGGGGAAAGAAGTGAAGTCTGTAAAGGGACTCTCATCCTCGTTTTTTGAAGTACAGATATAGATATACATTAAATTGAGTTTGTGTCAAATCTCTCTGAGTTATATCAATAACACATGTACATTTAAATAACAAGAATTTCAAAATCCCACTTTTTAAGCTTGAGATTTTACTCTCAAATAAAATCAGCAAGACATTAAGGAAAAAAGATTAGAGACAAGACAATTAGACAAAAAATAAAATGTGTTGGTTCTATTTAATCCCACTTTATATCCATTTTATAACATGTTGCATTACTATATTCGATTTTTGTTGGGTTAATCTTTCCAAAAGGTAACCTAATGACTTTATGATTTAGTTTAACAAGGGCTTGATTCAGATTCATTCTTTATTGTGAATGAAGCAGATTGATGGTTTGTAACATCTGGGGACAATTCTCCTCCAGACAACCCAAAATAATGTTTAAAGGAGTACGTTTAAAACAATATCTAATGGCTGTAGCCAAGCTTGGACACTAAAAAACTTGCATCATATGGATAGTAAAACAACATATATGTGTGGTGCTCCGCTTCCTCATTACAAAATCTGAAACAGTGGAGACTATAATTTTACACATGATGGTATTTGCATGATGGGATGCTTTTGATCCCCCTGAAAAGACTCTGTCTATTCTCCATCAGTGCAATATGTAGACTACATATGGTATAAGCTGATTATAATTCTGTTGATAGTGCACCGGCCTTTTTGCCCTGCGGATGCCCGAGGCATTGCAGCTGCTATTTTATTGACAGTTAAAGGCGATATAGCCTATTAGTTTCACTTCTGTAACATGAGGAACAAATCAGCATTAGGGGTTGAGATGGTTGTTATTATAATATTTTTTTTAGGTAGTTTTTGCAATAATAAAGTCTTTTGCATGTATCTGATATTCTGTGTTGTGCTCCAAGCCCATATAAATGTTCACTGGTGTGATTATATGACCTTCTGTTTGATATGGCCTGCCCTTCATCTAGGTTTTTGACAGCTCCTCTCCTCCTCCTCCTCCTCCTCCTCCTCACACAGCCTCTTGTTTCCCACAATGCTCAGCGACATCACCACCAAGATGGCCGACGCTATGGAGGAATATGAGAAAGAAGCTGGCTGCGTCCCTATTCTCCATCCCGAGGTATGGAGCTCTGACTTCATTCACACGGACTCACGAACACACACTAAACACACTTCACCTACCTGCGTGTGGATGGCTGTATGAATCGGCCTTGTTGTTTAGGAAACTGCGATGCCCCCTGCAAAACCCCCGGTGGTGGTGGTGGTGGTGGGGGGGCGGCAGGTAGCTAACGATGCTAAAGGTGCTAACGCTAGCTAGCCCCCCCCCTCCTCCTGCTGCATAGCAAAGCAAACGCTGGGCAGATGTTGGTGTTAATGTTAACGATAAGCAGGGCGGCGTTTCCCCACTATAGAAACACCGATTAGCTCGTACACAAGTGTGCAAGCCATGTGTTTGAGAGTGTAACGGAACTAAAGTAATGTTGCTGTTTAATCCTTGCAGCCACACGGCGTTAGCTCTGATGCTAACACTGTTAGCTGCGAAGATGTAAGTGGGTTTACTACCCTGTGCTGTCCATTTAGTGCTCTTAAAACATCAATATTAACAGTAACGAGTGTAAAACATCCTTCATATCCGATATTAACCATGTTATTTTGTTATGTTGTCACCCTCTGCTGGCTAACGTTATTCTAAGTGTCGTCCATTCTGCTAATGTTGTTGAAAATGTGTCTCTATGTTTGTATTTTAATCTTTAATAATGATGGAAATACTGTCTTTCTTTAAGTTAACCAGGTCCTTTGGCTCATCTCTTCATTTGGTACCATTTGTGATATATATGTTGTCAGCAAAATGAAGCAGCGTTTGAACCTATCATTGTGTGTTTTACTTGAATTACTGATTGGATTAGATTTAACTTTATTGTCATTGCACATCTTACCAGAAGTGCATAAAAGCATAAAGGTGCTGAGTAAATTGCAAACAAACATTAAGTGAAATTAAGAAATAAACAGGCACTTAAACTATAGTGTGCATTTAAAGTCACACTAGTTATTGAAAAGGAGAATTCAAAGCCATAATGTAGGCTACATGTTAAACAGATATACACACACATAGTGTAGAAGTAGGGCTGGGTTATTTCCCTTAACCCCACCATACAATACGTATCAGGATACAGAGGCCGAGATACAATATATCGTGATATTGATTTTTGATAATGACCATGCACTACAACAGCTGTTCTTTATTGAGAATAACAGCAGAGGCATATTATGAATCCTACATCTTAAAACACTTCAATTCAGGGATCCTAGAAATACATTCAGATGTTTTAATACCAGAGCTATGACTATGTTGTTATTGTGACCTGCACCTTAGGTCAGCTGTCTTTCAAAACTGTCATCACAGCTTTGCAGCCGTATCCATTCTGTAACATTTGCATTGTTACATGTATTTTCAAGTAGCAAATGATGATATATTGGCATATCAATTTTTAGAGCACAGCCCTAGTATACAGACACAGAAATCACAGAATTAGGTATGACTCTGCAATAAAGAGTGTACAGTAACATTGACAAATATGAATGGGAACTATAAGTCACAGATATGTGTAATGTATATGTTCTAAAAATGTAAATAGATATGGCAGGTATTTACAGTTTGAGTAGGTTATATAAAGTTGATATGTGTGTTTGCTTTCTTTATATTCATCATTAACCAGAGGCTTTGCTTTATACATTTAAAATCTTGTATATTTGACTGCACATCTTTAATGCTTGGTTCTGGGGTAGTTGTTGTTTTGTATATTGAACACAGCCTGGTTATCAATTCATCTCATCTTTTGTCTGGTGGCCAATCTAATCATCTGGAAGAAACCTGCTTGATAAACACACACGGTAGTTTGCCACTGTTATAGTTCGTTGTCTTCCTTTTCTCTCACGAGTAGGGTTTTGCACTTTGAATTGTAGACAGGAAGTCAGGTGAACTGATTTACTGTTCAGCCTGGTCATTTACTGATGGTAAAACTATGTGTACAGCATATCTTTTAATGCCAAGTGAGTACACAAATGAGTTACTGATTATCAAGAGATTTATAAAGATGTTGCAATTATGTTTTGTCTCTATCCTTGAACTTGTGTATTAACCAATTAAACCCAGTATTATTTATAGCAGGTGTTTTTTTTTTACAAGTTATTGTTTTACCGCCAGGATTTTCAGTTCAAAAAAATGAGGTGGCAGTGTCTTCAAAATCTAGATGCCTCTCAGCTGGCTAACAATAAACTTAAATGAAGGTGATCGTCTGAAAGTGATCGTCCTGTCGCGCGTTAAGCCTGTAATGCTCTTCAGTGGTAATGTTTCTTTCCATGATGAGCAGTCAAATTACCACACATGGATTTGCCTCCATATTGATATTGATTTTAGGTTCACACATAGCCCCATAATGGAAAACTGTGGTTGAATTAACTGTAACAGCTGCTTTTGTGGTGGCAAATATGTTTTGTTGATCTGGCGGATTTCTTAGCTTTCCTCTAGATTGTACAAACAAAGGAAAACCAAACAAAGGAAGATGGTTCTAAGTAATTTTACCCTTTGTCCCTTGACACTGAGACTCCTTTGTTTTTGAGGTGATGAGCCTGGAGTGTAATTTCATATGAGTAAACAGCCAAAACTTCTGGGTTTTATGCAAGCGGCAGCCTTGAAAAATTAAGCAAATGCACAAGTGTCTGCTTGAGAATGGCTCCAGGAACCCCTGAAGTCACATACACAACACAGTCAAAATAACTGTTTTTACAGCATAAATCAACATGTTTACAGCCTGGAATAAAAAAACTAAATAGGTCTGATTAGTTATTTTCATCATGGATACACACTGTACTGGGGGGGGGGGGGGATTTTGTGGTTTATTGGTCCAATAAACCTGACTTGTCTGACAATGAAAGATAAGTGGAAATAAAGGGGAACTGAAAATGTATTACTGAAGTTAAGAATTTTGTGGTTTGACAGTTTGGTTTATGAAACTGTGACAGCAGTCCCATGACTCCTCAAAACCAGTCATGCTCAGTATACCCCTGAGAACATCTTGTGCATGAAGCACGCACTTCAGCCATTGTAGTTAACAGTTTATCTTAACTGGATTAAAGCATCTCTGAGGGGTCTTCATTGATCTGTATACATACTGTAATTGGTTTTTCTACCGTTTTCCTTTAACAAATGTGCACACCTAGCCTTCTACTCATTTTCATTTAAACAACACTAGTCTTTCTCTCTGTGTTATAGATACAATAGTTCCTCTCAGTGGCAGAACACACTGTTAACTATTTAAGATGGAGAGGCAGGGCCTTCTAATTAATGGGAATGTACTTACCGTGTGTTCTTTGCTCCCTTCACACTATCAGTTGTTGGTGATTCCTTCCTTCCTGTGTTTGTTTCTCAGAATTTCACTTCTTGACCTGGCAGGGAAGCATGAGAAATGTCAGACTAACTTAGTGTATGTAGTCTTGTTAGTTTAGTTTCAGAGTTCGAGTCTGAGCAAGTGACTCGGGAAGTTTTATTTTCATGCATGGTGTGCAGGTGTTTATTACAGCATAATCCGAATTTGAATCGTGCACCATAGAATCAGTGATTTGGTGTTGTTTTGACTGTAAATACAAGACTTCCACTGTGTCTGGGCTTTTCCATTGGATATTTTTATCCAATCTTGCATGAATTGAGAGGCACCAAAGCCCCCAGATTCTTAAAGTCATTAAACAGAGACCCTCACAATATGACCTTTTGGCTCCACATCCACTTGTCATGATGAAGGATTACGCTTGAAGGAATTCTTATGATAAATGTTGTTTATTTGCCTCTATTTATCTACAGACTTTGCCCAAAGTTGCTCCTCCTTTCAGCAGGGTGCTGCTTGGAATCTGGGTCATCTTGTAGTTGGCTGTGGCTGAATGTATGAGGCACCTGAATTGGAGCAACAGAAATTTAGCTGAAACCCTCAGAAAGCTGTGCACTATTTTGTTTCTGTGGACCAGTTTAACATGTCAAGTGCAAACAGTTACCCTCTTGAGGAATGTTAGCCACAAACTCCAATGACTTCATTTGAATATGCTAATGAGTGTCCCTGTACAAAAGGCATATAGAGCTAGAGAACCTCAGCCGTTTATTTGATAGTTAACTTTTTGTGCAAATTGGGCTGATGGTTTTTGTATCCTTTGAGTGGTACTGTGAAATCCCTCAATTAAATCAATCATGATTTCCCGTGCTTTCTCCTGACACATGGATACAAACTGTGCCTTGATTATGAATCCATTGAAGTGTCTCTCATACCAGATAATGGTCATTTCTTGCTGCGTTCTCACATCAGCTCACTCTGACATGCTGCCGAAAAGACACTAGGGTGAGAACTCCGGGTAAAGTCTGAGTGAAAAATGTGGCTGTTTGCGTTCACACACACACACACACACACACACACACACACACACACACACACACACACACACACACACACACACACACACACACACACACACACACACACACACACACAGCTCTTCCTGGTAATATCAGGAGATTTTCTGCAAGTGTGAAAGCCCTATAACAGTGGGTAGTCCAAGCAGAGTCGTTATTGCAGATCAAAAAAAAAGCTGTTATGGTTCATTTATTTAATTGCTTCATGTATTTTTAGGGCTGAAACCTTGGGGTTGATTCAAACCATAAGTCCATGGGTCCACAATAGACTTAGATCCTGACAATTGTATTTTAGCTGCTCAGTGCACAGAGGAATGCACCACCAAACCGACATGGTGGTAAAAGCCTGTCTCTGTCGCTCTTTGGTGGAGCATCTTGGGCTTAAAAACGTAGCTGCTGCTAACTTGTTCTAGGTGCTCGGTTACTATTTAGCTTTGAGTTCCTGCATCATTTGTGTCATTATCCCCAAAGAGTCTCAGATTCATCCAAAACATGAGAACTCAGACGTATGTAAAACCTGTAAAACACTTAAAGGGATACTTCACCCATTAGCATTAATCTTTGTGTCATTAGAAACCTGGTAGTATTTTTGAATGGTCGTGCATCGCTCCCTCATTTTCCCCTGAGATGAGAAATCTTTGTATTTTTAAGTCTGAAAAGGAGCT